TATGCATTTGTCAGTAGGGAATGGGGAGTATATAGACAAGAGGGGAATTGCATTCTGTTTTATGCACAGCTAATAAGAGCCCTTGGTGGTTTTTTTTTTTTTAATTTTAAATTTAAATTAAAATTTTTTTTTTGAGTCAGAGTCTCATTCTGTCGCCCAGGCTGGAGTGCAGTGGCATGCTCACGGCCACCCCAGCCTCGACCTGCTGGACTCAGGAGATCCTTGTGCCTCAACCTAAGTAGCTAAAACTATAGGCATGTACTACCACGCCCAGCTAATTTGTTGATTTTTGTAGAGATGAAGTCTTGCCAAGTTGCTCAGGCTGTTCTCAAACCCAAAGGCTCAGGCAGACCCCTCACCTCAGCCTCCCAAAGTGCTGGGATTACAGTCTCCAGCCACTGTGCTTGGCCATTGGTTTTATTTTTAAATGAAATTGAGCCTTTAGCATTTTGAGCTTACATGTCAAATCTAAGAGTAGGAATTGGATGCAAGAGTAGGAATTTCACTTAAGTAGTTTATATCTGGCTTGTATGTAGGAGAATGCGGCTGTATATCCTGGCTTTTTTGCTCAAGGCATTATTTTTGTATTTTTGCAGGTTTACTTTTGTTAACAGGGGTCTACTAGAGATAATAATGTCTTAAAATATCAGTACTCTGGCTGAGTGCAGTGGCTTGAGCCTGTCATCCCAACACTTTGGTAGGCTGAGGAGAGAGGATTGCTGAGTCCAGGGGTTTGAGACTAGCCTGGGCAACTTGGCAAGACCTCGTCTCTACAGTAAATCAAAAAATTAGCTGAGCGTGGTAGCAGGCGCCTGTAGTTTTAGCTACTTGGAGGGCTGAGGTGGAAGGATCACCTGAGCCCAGCAGGTCAAGGTTGTGACTGTGAGCATGCCACTGCAGTTCAGCCTGGGCAACAGTGAGAGGGAGACTCTAACTCAAAAAAAAAAAAAATCAATACTTTTCATTTTTCCACAACCTTCCAAGGCTTATATCTTAGTGCCAGTGTGTATTTCTGGATGCCATCTACCAACAAAAAGCAACACTTGGGTTTGGATGAGCCACGATATTTGGCCCAAACTTAGGCTTACCAAGTACTCTGATCAGGGAATCTAGAAGAACTCTAAAACTGACCTAGTCTAGTGCAGGCCGTGTTATTAACTAAAATTGAATTTGTCCCCGAGTATTGGAAGGGAACAGAAGGGACTCTGGGGTGGAGTGGGCCTTAATCCCTATCAGTTTCAGCAAAGATTTGAAAAATAACCGGTTGCTACCATATTTCTATTCAAAAAGAAATACAAGAGATTGAAGGTGGGGCCAGACTGGTGACTCACACCGGTCATCCCAGCTCTTGGGAGATGGAGGCAGGAGGGTTGCCTGGGCCCAGGGGTCCAAGGCCAGCGTGGGTGACTTGCTGAGACCTCGTCTCTACGGCAAAGCCACAGATCAGCCATGTGTGGTGAAGTGCACCCTGTGGTTTCAACTAACTGAGAGGCTGAGGTAAATGATCACCTGAGTCCAGGAGGTCAAGCCTGTGGTAAGTGGTGATCGTGTCACTGCACTCCAGCCTGGGGAACAGAGTGAGACGCCAAGTCAAAAAAAGAATGGAAGAAGTTGAGAAAGGGATATAAAGAATTTTCTTACCCATATGCTGCATCATATTTTTAAAAATAAAAATATTGTATTCTTAAAAACAGTTATATTCATCCTATAAATTTCCTTTGCTTTTTTTCTTTCCTTGAACTGTTAAAATATGTTATATAGAACTAACGATTTTTTTTCTTTTTCATTTCCATGCAGGAAAGAGAAAGATATTATTCATGTAATCAGTGTTACCATTTTTTCCTAGTGTTTTGACTGAGGATTATTGTAAACAGTTTTACTTTTGTTGGATTCTTAATTTTAAATGCCAGTAATCCTTTATAGGAGTCTGAACTTTTAATTTGGTAATAACAGATCCAGGTAAGTAAAAAAGGAGAATCTCATACAGATCTGAAGATCTAAGTTTAGTTGAGAATTTAATATTTTATTATCTACTAAGCCTTTCAATTTAGTTAAAACTACAGACAATAACATGACTGGCCACACCTGTTGAGAACCGAGTTATCTGTAAATCAACATTTCTGATGTTTCTTTGGTAGTTGCTGCTGGAATCAGAAGTTAGAAACAAATCTAATAACCTTTTGGAAAGTCCTCTTTGTCATTTCACAGAGGAATGATTTACAGTAGCAAGAGTTTCATGAAATTTCTTCAACAGGATACTTAGTGGCAAAGATTGTAGCCAATGAGAGATCATGGTATAGAGAAGGAAATTAAACTGAATTCTATATTATCATAATCTTGTTTAAGATATTATGAGTAGCTGGGCTCGGTGGCTCAGGCTGTAATCCCACGCCTTTGGGAGGCTGAGGTGAGTGGATTGCCTGAGCCCGCGGGTTTGAGACCCGCCTGGGCAACTTGGCGAGACCTCATCTCTACAATAAATCAAAATGAGCTGGGCGTGGTAGCGCGCACCTGTAGTTCCAGCTACTTGGAAGGCTGAGGCAGAAGGATCGCTGGAGCCCAGCAGGTTGAGGCTGCGGTGGCTGGGAGCGGCCACTGCACTCCAGTCTGGGTGACAGAGTGAGACTCCAACTCAAAAAAAAAAAACAAACAAAAAAAAGATATTATGAGTATCCCTTGGACTGAAAGTCCATTACGTAAGCTTTCAGCAATAGCTTTATTACTTTCTTTTCCTTTTGTGTAGAATGTATACAATTTATGAGTATGTAAGTAGTAGTCTCGGAATTAGTGGGTAAAAAAATTTATCATAAGCTCTTTTTATACTCACATATTGTGAAGGGTAGTTTGGATTTTGGGTAATAAAGGCTTATAAACTTTTTTTTGACTGATTGGCAGAAGTATTTCATATCATGTTTTACGTTACTTAGGTGTATGTGTATGAAATAAAAATTTCACTATAAAGTGATACACTGTTTTCTAATTTGCTTTGTTGTAATCTATCCTTTTTCATTAAAAAAATGAAAAAGATCATGTCCCAGCAAATTGATTTTAAAACTCACACACCTATCACATTTTCTTTTCAGGTAATGGTCCTCACAAAACTTACCTTGTCTTCTCATATATTATCATATATTAAATTCTTTAAGCATTTTATTTTAAGAAGTATACAAAAAAAATATAGGACATTAGACATACTGTAGTTTTGTTTCTGCCTTTATTATTTGAATAAGATATACTGTGCCCTGGTATTTATTTCCTGTTACTTTTGACTTGAAAAGTTCCAAGTCATTGGGACAGCCAGTGAAGAGAGATTAAGATTGAAAAAAAATACATCAACAGACTGTATCTGAACTCTGTTTTCTGTGTCTTACTGACATTGACCCTTATCAGATAGTGGTGTGTTTTTTCTTCCCACTAGTAATTCTTGTTATCCTAAGTTTATATTTTTTACATTTTAATATTTACCTTTTCTAAGTCATAAGAGGTATGAACTTAACACTGTTGTAAAACTTAGTTGTTTTTTTTTTTTTTGAGTTGGAGTCTCACTCTGTCGCCCAGACTGGAGTGCAGTGGCCGCTCCCGGCCACCGCAACCTCGACCTGCTGGGCTCTGGTGATCCTTCCGCCTCAGTCTTCCAAGTAGCTGGAATTACAGGCATGCACTACCACACCCGGCTGATTTTTTGATTTATTGTAGAGATGAGGTCTTGCTGCCCAGGCGGGTCTCGAACCCGCAGGCTCAGGCTATCCGCTCACTTCGGCCTCCCAAAGGCGCGGGATTACAGGCTGAGCCACCGAGCCTGGCTTAAAACTTAGTTTTTTTTTAAAAAAATGGTAGTGGGGCAAGATCAAATCTGTTCTCTTTCTTCCAAACTAAAAGAAGCAGAAGTAAATTTTAGGCCAAGTTTCTTGTGGATGATTGCAAGTGCTGTAGCAATTTGTACTTGAGAACTGTGATGTGTAAGAAACTAAAGTTTAATAAGCCTGTTCCCTAGTGATATTTCTATGAGTAGTCAAGTTTTTAATAGTATCAAATTAACTAAATGTTCAGTAAGCACAGAATGCCCAGTTAGGTAAAAAGTGGATGTAAAACAATACTTCAATCTTTTTTTTTGTTTGTTTTGAGTTGAAGTCTCACTCTGTCACCCATGCTGGAGTACAGTGGCACGCTCATGTCCACCACAACCTCCACCTACTGGGCTCAGGTGATCCTTCTGCCTCAGCTTTCCAAATAGTTTGGAACTACAGGCATGCACCACCACACCCAGCTAATTTTTTTATTGTAGAGATGAGGTCTTGCCAAGTTGCCCAGGCTGGTCTTGAACCCGTGGGCTCAGGCAATCCTCTCACCTTGGCCTCCCAAAGTGCTGGGATTTATAGGCGTTAGCCACTGCGCCCAGCCAGTACTTCAATCTTAAAGTTAACTTTCATAAACAGAACTCCCCTAAATATTACTGTACTTATATATAATGTTTTCCAGGGGCCCTGGATAATCTTCTCCACAGAGATTCTTTAGGCCAAGTATCTTCTCATCCTTGGTACAGAAAGAATATTAAGGACCTATGTCCCACTTTGAAAGAACAGATACTGCACAACCCTGCACAGTAAGAACAACAAAGGTCAGACTTACAGCTTTCAGGTGTTATAAAAGTGACTCCTCCTTAGATAAAAGATGCTAAAGGTTTGTTTGTTTGTTTTTTTAAGCATCATGAGTCTTTGAGTCTCTAATAAAACTCTGGATTTTCTCCTCAAACAAGCAGACATGCATCCAGTCTCTGCTCTAGGACTCCCAAAAGAATATAAGCATCTGCTTAGGGCACATCTGTTGAATTCACCTTCAGATTTTTCTGGATTGTTGAGGTAGTGAGAATAGGTTCAAAAAAAGGCAGAAACACTGATTTCTTTTAACTTGATACTATAATTACATGTTACCATTAATTTTGGATCATTGTTTCCTTTTATTGCTATTGAAATGTGTTCAGAATGTGACTAAGCTGTTACCTGCTATAGGTGGTCCAGAAAGGACGGCCATCCCAGCAAAGAAACAAGCAAATCCCAAAAACCTGTGTATCGTGGAATTCCCAGATAGATCAACCTGTAGGAGTTAGAACTCACTGTTAGCCATATTACGGTTGATATTCTGTAGAGACTTATGCCTAAAAGGATCAAATACTGTTTATATCATCTCAAACTGTGAACAGTTTGACTTCTGAAGTGATTTGGATGACCTTTCTGCTCCTAATATTATAAAAGAGAGCTGAGGTCAAATAGCAAGCAGTAACTTTGCTAGGCAGGCGGTGTTTTCAGCTTACCAGTTAAGGCACACTAGTTTTGCTTTTATTTTAATCTTTTAGTTGGTTCAGGGGTAATTTTTCCCCTTGCTGCTTTTCTCTATTAGAAAATGGTGTTTACAATCTGAACCGACAGTGATGTTCTTGAGTCCACCTGTGGCTAAGTGTCAACCATTAGGTTGTAAGAAACAGCTTTAGAAAGCTTTAGTTTTGCCTAGGCCTCATGAAGTATCCTGTAGCGCTTATGCTGTTGACATCAGATCAGAAGTTTCCAGGTATTCTGTTCCAGCATTTGAGGACCTGGTTCTAAGAAGAACTCATTGGGTTCCAAAGGGTTCCCAGAACACAGAAGTATCTGTATAGTTGCATTTGGGACTGGGACTTCAAGTCAATTTGGGTAAACATGGAAAGGAAGTTTAAAAAAAAGTCAATGTCCCTGTTAAAGTACACAGGACCAAGGTATTAACCTCAAGAGAGAAGCCATACTGGTCAGGACACCCCTTTTTCTCTTGAAGAACTCTCAGGGAACTCTAAAAGATTGTGTTTTAGAAACAGCCAAGGAAATTTCTGGAGCTGAAGGAGAGGAGTGAACACAAGCCTAATCTCTTGGAAGACTGATAAGCAAAATGGAATCCTGCTGAGCCCTTTTTAATTTTTTTCCTGTCTTATGTCCTACGTGGATAGTCCTCTCACTCTTCCCCTCAAGGTTAGGCGAATAACTGCACAGGATATAGCTATAGGGTTTCTAAAGTCTTTGGTATTTCTTTTTTTAGTTATAAAATTAATACAAAGTATGTATTCTGTTTGGGGAGATTGTTTCTGATACTTGCTTTTACTAAATGACCTAACAATGTTAATGAATATGTCTACTCACCAGTACAGGTAGTAGCAACGCCAGGTAACCACCAGCGAAAGTGGCAAAGAAGACGGTGTAGGTCATAAGTAGTGGAAATGTGGTGGCTAAAGGAGCAAGGAGGTTAGTGATGCCACAGAGAATGAGGTAAGACTTGAGGTAATGATACTTCTTGGTCCAGTTTTTATCAGCAACCCATCCAGAAATAATCTGACTGACTGTCTCAAGGATTCCTGGAACAGTATTGAGAAAGTCTTATGAAAACCTGATTTTATTGTCCTGATTTTATTGTCCTAGCCCTTTTGAAAAATGAATGCATAAGCATTTTCTCCCAAGAAACAGGACCTCATCCTGAGGCCAGGATATGTGAGAAAAAGGTGGTTTCAGTTGTCTGCCAGGAGGTCTATGATAGATCATTTACTTACTCCAAACACATGTAATAAAAGAGCTCCTCTAGAGTTGTGTAGTAGACTCATCAAGTTGCCAGGTGTTCTTTCTGTGTTTGGAAAGTTATACCACCAAACTGGGAATCTCTGGCTGCAGAGGACCCTGGGCTCAGGAGGCCTTACAGTCCCTTCCTCTAAGAGGTTCTGCAGGTGAGAAAATGAGATTTCTAAAAGGCTGGTAGACTCATAGGTCAGTGTTCTGGGGTAAGTCATATGGTTGAAGATTGGAGTATAAACAATAAAAACTTTTTTTTAATCTAGAGGTTGAGATTCTTTCATACAATTGTATATGAAGTTTTAGGAATTAAGTTCTCCGAAGTTCATTATGCTTAATTTGAAAGTTGTTGCAGTATGTCTGGAAATGAAAGATCGTATTTTGAACATTGACATATGGTGTAGCTTGAATAAAATTTAAAAAACATGTTCTTCACTTAATTTCATGATAACAAAGCATTCTTTATCCTGTTATTAGTATAAGCTAATGTAGCAGTTAAATACTGAAAGATTTTCACAAGATTAGCACAAGCTCCCGTTGTTTTGTACTTCAGATTGTTTCTTTGGTTCAAAGCATAAGTTACTCCATTGCTTAGAAAATTCACTTTTTTTCATGAGTCCCTATTTTGTCAGTTGAGAGAATCCATATCTTCTGAATCAAGCATTCTCTTTTGAAGCATTTTTGTGAATATTCAGCTAAAATGGTTTTAACTTTATATTCTAATTAAGTTGAATTTATTTGTCTACTGTGAGTTCAAGGGGGAAAATACTTAGCTACAAATATTAGTAGAACACTCTTGAATACTTACCATGGGCCAGCCACTATCCTAAACTCTACATGCATTACTTTTTAATCCTGACAACTTTATAAAGGAAGCTACTATTATTCCTATACTCCAGATAAGGAACTTAAGGCACAGAGAAGGAAAGTAATTTTCTGAAGTCCACACAGTTAGGAAATACAGAGCAGGAACTTGAGTTGAGGAAGTCTAGCTCCAGAACCAATCCTTTGAACCACGCCCCTATACTGTCTGCCTGGGCTTTTCTGTTTCCTGGAGTAGCTATTGCCACTGAGTATCAGCTTTTTGAAATACAGTATTTTTCCAACAAATACTGTCTATTGGATCAGACATTGTTATATGAAGATAAAACTGGTTTGAAGTCCACTATCTAGTAGGGGATCCTGTGTGCCAGGTGCAGTGAAAGAGATCTGTACAGGGAAATGCCCAGATGCTTTTTCTAGCCTCAAAAAATGTGCTTTTTTAGCCGGGCTAGGTGGCTCAGCCTGTAATCCCAGCACTTTGGGAGGCTGAGGTGAGTGGATTGCCTGAGCCCGTGGGTTCGAGACCCACCTGGGCAACTTGGTGAGACCTCATCTCTACAATAAAATCAAAAAAATTAGCCAGGCGTGGTAGTGCGCGCCTGTAGTTCCAGCTACTTGGAAGACTGAGGCGGAAGGATCGCCGGACCCCAGCAGGTCGAGGCTGCAGTGGCTGGGAGTGAGCCACTGCACTCCAGTCTGGGCAACGGAGTGAGACTCCAACTCAAAAAAAAAAATGTGCTTTTTCTGGCCTTCTCACAACCCTTGTGTTTTCCTTCAGCTTTCTAATAAAATGTAATACACTTCTGTAGAATTAAGTTCATCTTTCCTTTTGGGTGGGAGCCAGAGTAGGCTTTCTTACCAGCTACGGAAACGAGGTAGGAGGCATCCGTGATGTCAATCCCCAGAGTTTTGGCTCTGGCTACCAGGTGAAAGGTAGGGACGAAATATGCTAACTGACTGAGGATGAAAGACCAGGTAAATACGTAGAAGAAAGGATTCCTGAAGAGAGAAACATCAAAGAGTTTTTGTGTGCAGCTCCACAAACTACCCTTATTGCAGGTTTCTCCATTACTTATTATTAACTGTCTGTTCCTGTTAGGCTCATTGTTGAACTCTTCACTTGGATTTTGTGGGACTATTAAAATGTTACCATGCTGTCCAGTCTTCTGCATAGTACTGTCCTTGATGGTAGAGTCTTGTGTCTCATTGCTGTATGATGTTTCTGTCTCACATGGTATGTCTGGATCACATGCAGACAAACTGCTACCTTTATATTTAAGATCAGAATTGTTCTCACTTTTGATATGGATGGGTCTTAAGAGCATACTAGAAGGTACCAAATTCAGTGTAATAGCTCCAAATAATAGAAGAGCACCTAAACAGGAGAGAAATGAGAAGTTAAGCTAAAAACGACCTCTTAGTTCACAGTATTACTCTGCGTTCATGAACTCAGAAGAGAGACCACCACGTAATCCGTTAATTATTGAAAACACTACTTTGCCCCCCAGGTTTACATATCAGCTGTATACACTGCTGTATCCCTGTAAAATGGGGTCTTTTGGAGATAGGAAAACCAAAAAGTTGCAACAATAGAGGGGAGGGAAGGAGATGTTATTTGTGCTAAAGGGAAAGACAAAGCTGGTTTTTTGGGAGGAAGGGAATATTTGAAATGTTAAAAAATTACCATGTGTTTTAAATCGGGATTTTAAGTATCCTTAAGTGGGGGTATAGATTTAGATACAGAAGTAGATGATGAGAATTATTTGGAAGAAGAGGGGGCATCCTTTCACCTCATGACATTTTTTTAAACTTCCTTAAAAGAAGACAGATGCTAATCTTGCCTCTGAAGCTGAATACTTGCTTGAATTCAGCATGTCCTGACCAAGCTGTGACTTTCATATGATGTTTCTGAAGACAAACTGGGCTGTAGGCTCTGCTGTCCTACTCATGGATTTGTCAGCATTCACCATGAGGCCACTGAATAGTTTATTTAGGAAAGGAAAGATTCAACAAAACTGCTATGTAGATAGAAATAGACATATGAATGGATGCACACATCCACACATACATATGTATATATTTGGATTTATTTTTTATTTTTGAGTTGGAGTCTTACTCTGTCTCCCAGACTGGAGTACAGTGGTTACGCTCCTGGCTGCTGCAGTCTTGACCTGCTGGGCTCCAGTAATCCTTCCGCCTCAGACTTCCAAGTAGCCAGAATTACAGGCGTTCGCTACCACGCCTGGCTAATTTTTCTGATTTATTGTAATGATGAGGTCTCGCCAAGTTGCCCAGGTGGGTCTCGAACCCGTGGGCTCAAGCTATCCACTTGCCTTGGCCTCCCAGAGTGCTGGGATTACAAACTGAGCCACCGAGCCCAACCTAGATTACTTTAATCCAAATATTGTCTCAGATAAAAAGAAAATTGTGGAATGAGTGGTTTTTATTCATTTGTGGAAACTTATAGTTAACAATATATAAATGATTAACTATTAAGGAACATAATATTACCAAAATATTTTTTCTTAGTGAGTCTGGTGGAGGAGGCATTATTAAAATGCAGGTTTTTTTCCTTAAAGGGAAAATGAGAAAAATGAATGCTTTAGTAAGGGAAGGGGAAAGTCTTGTTTCTCCCAGGGTGTCACCTTCACTGCAAAATTTCAGATTCATAGAGTGCCCTGTGGTGAATTCTGAGTTGCTTGTGTGAACTGGCAAAGCATGCAAGTAATTCAAGATATCTTTTGTATATTCTATAAGGAAGAGGAGCATACTTAGAAATCATGCTGATTTCTTCTCTGGTGATACCCTGTGAAATTGATTGCTCTAAAAGTCTACTTTCAGTCATCAAAGAAACTGAGCTGAACACTAAGTCTTGCAGAGTTGATAGTTCAGGAACTTAGGTGGCTCACCTGTCCAGTCATATAGATCCATTAGGAATTTTGTAAAGGGTGCCAACAAAAATGTCAGCCCCATTCCAGAACGAGCAATAGCTGTAGAAAGAGCCAATCGTTTTTGGAAATATTTGGTGACCACCACAGCAGCTACTTGATACAAGAAAGCAGCACCCAAACCTAAAAGAAAAACATAATAGTTTGGAATCACTTTCACATAACTTGGAACCAGATGTGATAGTCTCCTGGATCCAAGATAATATAACTAGGCCTTTTGGACTCAAGAACGATAGAAGAGAAGGTTCCTGTTTCATTTCCTATAGTCATATATTTGCAGTGGACTCACCAGTTAAAAGTCCCATAGTCACGCAAAGAAAGGGGATGCTTGTAGCCCAGCTGCTGATCAGATAGCCGCCAGTAACAAGGAAAGCCCCAAGAATGGAGGTCGTTTTCTCTCCAAGTCTATCATAAGTAATGGCAACCAGGGGACCTTAGAAGAAGAAAGGCAACTTTTAGGTAAGTGTACTCGGCCATCCCTTATTCTTTCATGTGTGATTTAAATAAATGAGGACTCTACTTTGGAGTATTTGTGTAGTCTTCAGAAAAGGATTGAATTTATTAATATTATGAGTCCGACACTATTTTGTCTTTTGGGAGAGTTTAAAAAAGAAAGTGGATTGTAAACAAGGTTTGGAGGAGAACTTTTTGAAAATGCTTATAAAAACTCCCCCAAAAGAGTTAACATTTAGTGACCAGAGCAAGGTTGAATAACTAATCTGCTCTTCTATCATATTACAGCTTCAGATAAAACCAGAAGGGAGAAATTGGCCCTCGGGTTTTGTTCTGAGTATACTTAGATGACTAGAACTTTATGGTCTGATCTCCAGGTTGAGGCCCTTGCTCAGTGAACCTGTATTAAGGCATTGCCAGACTGGAAAGAAGGCATGAAAAATTGAATCATGGAATTAAATAATTCTTCAACTTTCTTAGTTTGAACCTTATTTTCCCAACTTAGTTACAAGTCAAGTGAAGGCCAAATGCTGCAGTTCCTTACTTTCTCAGCATTACATATTAGTAAGTGAACCTGAATTTTAGGAACACTTCAGTTTTAAACTATTGACAGGAGTCATTGAAATTGCTCTTTGCGGTTCTTGGACAGCAAGCTTATTGCCAGCTTATACCTGCGGAAAAGCGAAGTGATGACATGATGGATCCAATCCAACCAGTTTGCTCCGAGGTGGCTTCAAACTCTTCTTGAAAGACCACAAAGAAAATGGCAAAAGTCTTGGTCATCCCCATCACAAACACATTTACCTACATCAAAGCAGACCAGAGTCTAAGCAGGCAGTGAGTTGTTACAGAGGTTACTGCTGCTAGAAGTTATGGTTTCCACAGCTCATTAGCATTTACCACTTTGCTTAATTGGGTAACCCTCGTTATACATCTTATATTTTATGGGGGGGAGTCGTTCCTTCTAAAGTGGCTAAGCACTTTAAATGAAAACATCTCATTTAATCATTTCAAACATTTAGAGAAGCAAAAGTTATGATGGGGTTACTGGAGCTGAGGTTTGAGCCCAGATAGACTGACCACTACCCTCCTGTTACAGTGGTATCTGTTAGCTAGTTCTTGTTACCTTGGGGGGGGGGGTCGTCCAAAAAAGGAATCATTAATACCTGTTTTTAGTTTTGCTTGAACTCTGCTCCTGAGCTGAGTACTTAATAGTATTTATTGAGTGCCTATATGTCCCCACTTGATATATAAATAGGGTGAATATATAATTTATCCAAATTGGGTCACTCGACAGGGAAAGAGAGTGTTCAATTATTCCAGGACAGCAGGGGTTAACTGGGATAGTCACATTATGTGCGAGTCTTGTGTCATCCTTTTTTCCCCTTTTTGTCCCACTTAATCTTTCCTGCACTGCCCTGTTCCCTATACTAGGAGAGCCACTCCTTTGAGGTCGAGTTTGCTTTCTAAGAAGATTATTCACTTTTGTTTCTCAGAATTCTCATTAGCCTTGGGGCAGTTAAGTACTTCTCTCCCTTTCTGCTTAACAGCCAGACTGACCTGCAGGGGTCAGGAGGGGAAACTTAAAACAGAAACCTAGCCAGTGTCTGCATTCACACTCAATGTTCAGGAGCCACTGTGCTCAGTGTCGGTGGGGTCTTCCTAGCTTCCTCTTTTACTTGTTTTGGTAGTCTTGACTTTTCAAGGCCACTTCTGCTTTCAACTTGCGCATGCGTAGCTTAAGAACCACAGGACGGCCAGGTAAAGTGGCTCAGCCTGTAATCCCAACACTTTGGGAGGCTGAGGTGAGAGGATTGCCTGAGCCTGGGGGTTTGAGAGCAGCTTGAGCAACTTGGTGAGACCTTGTTTCTACAATAAATCACAAAAAACTAGCCGGGCGTGATGGTATTCGTCTGTAGTTCCAGCTACTTGGAAGGCTGAGGTGGAAGGATTGCCTGAGCCTAGCAAGTCAAGGCTGCAGTGGCTATGAGTGTGCCACTGCACTCCAGCCTGGGCAACAGAGTTAGACTCCGACTCAAAAGAAACAAAACCCACAGTACTTTCTTTTTCAATGATTGCACCTTTCTGTCCTCCCAGAAAATGGTTTTCCTCTGTCGTTCTGCACTCATCTTAATAGCTGTTCCCTGGACAGTCATTCAAGGTTTTCATGACTACTACCCACATACTCATGGTGGTGGTGTGAGTACAGCTCTGCAGTCAGTCAGCCTTCACTTGCGTCCTTGCCTTGCTTCCTTATGAGGGCAACCCTTGAGCAACTACTTTGTACGGGTTAAGCTTCTTTTGTAAAGTGCAGAGAATGAAATATTATTTAGCTCATAGGACTGTGAAGATTGAGAAAGTTATGGGAAAGTACTTAGTATTTGGCACTTAATTAGCTGATTTTGTTTTGTTGTGTTAGCATTCTGCTTTCCCAAGAGCTTCAGATTCATATAACTATCTACCGTATCTTTTTAACTCTGCTCAACTTGACAAACCTTAACCCATCTTTCCTGTGTCCTACACCTGCTACTTTTCATTTTTTTTAATTGATACCATCCACCCACTGGCCTGAGTCAGAGATGTGTTTCCTCTTAGATACCTCCCCTCAGCTCATACTTCTAAATAATCATCCAAACGTTTCCCTCTTTCTCATCCTCATCGCTAGACTCTTATTTCAGACTAATATTGTTGTCTGAAGGCAAGGGATGAAGAATTGGAATGCTGGTCAGGCATGGGTGACTTAGCTTGTAATCCCAGCACTTTGGGAGAATGAGGCGAGTGGATTGCCTGAGCCCACAAGTTCGAGACCAGCCTTGGCAACATGATGAGACATCATCTCTACAATAAATCAAAAAAATTAGCCAGGCATGGTAATGCGCACCTGTAGTTCTGGCTGCTTGGAAGGCTGAGGCGGAAGGATTGCCGGAGTCCAGCAGGTCAGTGCTGGGGTGGCCATGAGTGTGCCACTGCACTCCAGCCTGGACGAGGGAGTGAGACTCCAACTCAAAAAAAGAATTGGTGGAATGCTCAGAGGTTGCAAAAGTTGAAGTTGTGAGGAGGAGGTCCTTTAATATATTTTTTCACATTCTGATTTGATAGAAGGTACAAAACTTAGAATGAACAGTGTTGTGGACAGCAGAATGATATATTCAAAAATGAGAATCAACATTTTATCAGGTCCCTGTTCAGGCAATTTGAAGCCATATTTTTCTCCAAGGCACATCTATCAGGAAATCAGGCTAGAAAATGTATGCAAATTTCAAATGACCTAGATTTGTTTCTCTCAGGTCAAAGTAAACAGTGGCGATAGTGTCCTTGCATGAGCAAGGGACACTAAAATGCGTCACTAAAATAAGCTTTCTTTTTTTCTGTGGACATGGTTCTTTGCTAGCTGTCTAGAGGATGCTGACCTCCATCTTCTTAACCACCTGGATTTAACTAGCTACTGGTCCCCCTAGTTCAGAACCTCTCCTACCTGGTCTGTCCTTGATGTCTGGGAGTGGCCAGAGTGACTGATGTGGGCTTATTTCTAATAACAGAGTCTGTGTCTTCCACCATGTATCAAGAAGACCCTGGGAAGAGTCTTTGCATCTACCATACTCCCCCTTCCACTTGAAAACTTCCAAATTTGTTTCCATTTTGATTAAAAGATACTAAAAATCTCTCCCAAGGTCTAGATTTCCCCTTAATTTAGCAGACTTCATAAATCTGCATTATCCTACTTAATCCCATGCTTTGGACCTAGCGTGGTGTCAGTTCCATCACCAGAGTCTACATGACACATTGTAAATAGCTCACCTCAAAATAAGAGCCATAGAACTTCTCCAGTCCATTTCCTTTTTATCTTTTTTTTTTTTTTTTAGTTGGAGTCTCACTCTGTTGCCCAGGCTGGAGTGCAGTGGCACACTCAAAGCTACCCCAGTGTTGACTGCTGGACTCTGGCAGTTCTCCCACCTCAGCCTTTCAAATAGTTGGAACCACAGGTGCGTGCTACCATGTGTGGCTAATTTTTTTTTTGTAGAGATGAGGGTTTGCCAAGTTGTCCAGGCTGGTCTTGAACCTGCAGGCTCAGGCAATCCACTCACCTCTGCCTCCCAAAGTGCTGGGATTACAGGCTGAGCCACAGAGCCTGGCCCCTTCTTATCTTTAAGGGCTCTACAATTGGGTTGAACCTGGCAGGAACACCTTAAGCAGGCCTGCCTTTGCCCATCCCACCCCACATTAAGAGGTTCCTCACCAGATCATTCTAATTATTGTCTTGGGAAGGGGACTGGCTCAGCCTCAGTGACCCGCTTTGAGTACAGAGCACCAGGTTTTGAGTTACTTTAATAACAGCTTATTTTAAACCTATGTCCTTCAATAATATCACTAGTTCTTCCTCACCTTCACAGACAGAATAGCCTGTTCAGTATCTGTTTCCTCATCCTGCTGCTTCACTGAAGACTAAATTCCATTGCACTGGCTCTTATCAAGGCTATCGAGGCTTCTTTGTTACTAAACTAACAAACTGCTGTCATTTCTATCATATTTGACCTCTCAGTAGCATCTGCTCATCACTCTCTCCTGGAAATTTTTGCCTTAGCTTCTGTGACACTACATTTCTAGATTGCTATTCCTCTGCTTCTCAGTTTCCTCTGTGGGCTACTCCACCCTTTCCCTAGACATTGATCTTTCCTAGGGTTCTCTCTAGTCTTCCTTCTTCTCCCTGGCGATTTAACCCACCTTGCCCCAAAGTCCAAATTATCATGTATGCTGACTCAGGTTTCAATATGCAGATCCTGTGCTCCACATGCATGCAGACTATATGCTAACACATTATCGGTTATGTTATAAGACCCTCAGACTCAGAAAGTTCAAAATTAAACCATCCAAACCGTCTTCAGAATTTCTCTTCTCACTATGGCTTTCAGCTCAGTGAATGGCATTCATTATCCCTCAGGTTACCTAAGCCAACAACCTAGAACTCTTGACTCCCTCTCTTTCCTTGACATCTGGTTTCTCTCCAACTAGGTCTACCTTCTTGATATTGCTCAGATCTGTGTTTTCTCTCCATTCTCATTGCTATGCGCTTAGGTTCTTATTGTCTCATCTGTCTTATTGCAGCATTCCTCCAATGACTCTCCCTGCTTTGGCATAACCCCTACTAACCTATTGTCCACCCTGCAGCCAGAGCTTTATTTCTGAAAAGCAAATCTGACCCCATCATTCCCTTGCTTAATTTTTCTCATTAGCTCCTCATAGCCTCAACATAAGAGCCAGTGTTCTAACATGTCTTACAAGGCCCCTTTCTACCTCTTGGATTTCATCACCCATCCTCTTCCTCCTCATTTATTCATAAATGTATGTGTCAGTTTGTCTATCCACCAACAGTATCTATTGAGAACCTACTATGTTTCAGGCTGTATGCTGGGGCTGGGGCTACAATAGTGAGTGTACACTGGTGAGCAATGTAGACATGGTCCCTACCTTCATGGAACATTCAGTCTAATGAGACAGACTGAATACAGAGGATATTCATACAATAGATACTTACAAAGGGTGGTAAGTTGGCAAGAATGAATCCACCTTTTTTTAAAGCAGGGAGCTCCAAAGAACATTCAGTTATTTTTCACTTACCTTTTCAGGAGCTCATCTGTTATAGAAAAGAACACTTGTAACTCACACAGAAACAAAAGCACAGTCATCCACATTAAAACTGGATGATTGGCCCATGAGTTCATTGTTAACAGAATCCAGTGTATTTTTTGTGCTTTAACAAGCAGCATCACACCCTGAAAAAATGGGACATTGTTCATTAATCTGGTTACTAGGTAGTTTTTCTTATCAGCAGCTAGGTTGATCAAATAACTTCCTATCCTCAGATGGTAATGTAGGAAAAGTAAGGGTGGCTACTAGGGAAAAAGACAGGAAAACTACATATTTTCACTGACTGTGCCAATTCTGCAAAGTCTGTGATTTGGGGAGGTGGCCCAGGCACAGGAAAGGATCTCACACTTAGGCATCCTTAGTTTCCCTATTAGTAATATTTCTGAGTGAAAAAATGAGATTTCACATTCTTTGGTCATGAAGTTCATGCTCAACAAATAGTACCCTATTTGTTAAGAGTTTAGTATTACATAAACTCCGACTAGAGACCGCTGCCCTTCCTATCCCTGGGCAGGAGGCATAATGTTTTCCCATCATTCTAGTTATAGAGTTCTTAATTGTCCACATGGTGGACTACAGGATTGTGACTAGTCACCAGGACCTGCACTGCCCTTTCTTGTGAGCTGCTTACCACAGGGCTGAGCAGGGGAGAAGTAGCAGGAAGAAAAGGGTGTTTTTGTGAGTACATCTCAAAATGAATATAATTTATCTGGGAACACTTAAGAATTGTGGAGCTGGTGCCACTGTAGACTATTTGGGGCATAGCTGTAATGAGATTCACTGGCTTTCTAGAATGGGCCTGCTGATGACACATTTCACCACTGTCTCTCACTTAGCAACCCAAAGAGTTTTTGGGAGGATGAGGGAAAGAAGTTAATTTTAAAAACAATGCTTTGTCTAGTTGTTTATGGATGAGGAAGGAAAGTAAGCCTCCCATTTTAGAGTCTACATTCTTCTTCCTTTCCAGACACATCAAAAACAGCGTAAGTTGCCGGGCTCGGTGACTCAGCCTGTAATCCCGCGCTTTGGGAGGCTGAGGTGAGTGGATTGCCTGAGCCTGCGGGTTTGAGACCCGCCTGGGCAACTTGGTGAGACCTCATCTCTACAATAAATCAAAAAATTAGCTGGTCGTGGTAGCTCGCGCCTGTAGTTCCTGCTACTTGGAAGGCTGAGGTGGAAGGATCGCTGGAGCACAGCAGGTTGAGGCTGCGGTGACCGGGAGCGACAAAGTGAGACTCCAACTCAAAAAAAACCAGCATAAGTCACTAATGAGTGGGGATGGGCCGGGATGTAGACAGCAGGCCAAAAGAGAGGGAAAGTCCCCACCTGCTACCAATGAGTGCACTGGGCTGAGCTAGGGAACCCACCCCAAAGCACTTTTGAGCATGTCCCAGGGCTACTGCTGGGATAGTGAAAAGTATGATTGTCACCAAATCCTAACTGCCATGCAGCCAGGGCAGAGCTGCTGGTCACACCTGGGGTATTCGCTAGAGCAGCAGATCCCAACCCTTTTGGTATCAGGGACCAGTTTCATGGAAGACAGTTTTTCCAAGGACCTGGGGTTGGGGATTTGCAGTCAAACCTCACTGCTAATGGTTGTCTGTATTTGTAGCCGCTCCCCAACACTAGTATCACCGCCTCAGCTCCACCCCAAATCATCAGGCATCAGATTCTCACAAGGAGCGGAAACCTAGATCCCTTTCATGCACAGTTCACAATAGGGTTTGTACTCCTATGAGAATTTAGTGGTGTCGCTGATCTGACAGAAGGTGGAGCTCAGGTGGTCATGCCAGGGATGGGGAGTGGCTGTAAACAGATGAAGCTTCACTCTTGCTTCCTGCTGTGCGGTCTGGTTCCTAACAGGCCAAGGACTAGCAGTCCATGGCCTGAGAACTGGGGACCTCTACGCTAGAGATAAGGGATCACAGGCAGGAAGCGAAGAGGACTGGATGGAAAGGCTTCTGCTTTCCCTTAGGGGACATTTTCAGCTTTTTCCTGAGTTTAGTGTGGGCTTCTGACGGTGGCAGTTATTGGCAGTCCCTGGCCTTGTTCTGCCCCCTCTCTACACAAATGCCGAGGATTATCTAAGTGGTCTTAGTTTTAGGCTGCTCTGAGCCTTTCTCCAGAGAGCCTGCTTTCAGGCAATAGGAAAGGGGAAATAAAGCAAATTCTTACCAGGAAAAAATGAAACACAGTCATCCATCCCCATCCTCCATCCAGGGCTTTAGTATAAGGCTGGGCTTTCCCCTTCCTCTTCAACATGATGCTTCCTCTGTTTTAAGTGCAGAAGAGCCTTATGACAAATCCAAGACAGTCTACTTAGTTGACAAGAAACTAAACTTTTTAACTTTATCTTCCTCTGTGTTATAAAACTAAAACCACTTGTACTGTAGTTTCCAACCCCTCTTAATTACATATAAAATCTGCCCGATATACTTAAGGACTCAGTTCACTGAAAAGCCTGACAGCCACTCCAAGAACTGTGCTCAGGGTCCTTCCCCCGACGTCTGCCAGCCAATTTCTTTGGAGAAACTGTCTAACCCACTCCTGGTCCTCTGGGTGAGCTCTTCACTTTAGCGAAATAGAAAGGGAAGAAGAGCCTTGGGCTTAGAAATTTGTTTTACAAAGCACTTGCTAAAAGTAAATATGCTAAATAACTAAATAGACATGACAACAGAGTGTAATACCTCTTCCTAGAATGGATCCTGGATTAGAAAAAGTTGTCAATGACAATTTGGGGAAAATTGAACATGGACTGTATAATAGAGAATGCTGTATCAAGGTTAAATCTCTTGGGCATGATCATGGTCTTGTGGTTCTGCAGGAGAATGTTCCTGTTCTCAGGAGATAGATGCGAAAGTATTCAGAAGTAAAGTGTCAGATGCTCCTTTCTTCCAAATGGTTCAATAAAATATAGGCATGGGTGAAGAGAGACAGCAAAAAGAAAATGTTCTAAGGAAGGAGTACAGCGTGCATTATTTTCTTCTGTTATTTGAAGGCAGACTGATTCTTACTGGGAAGGAGAATCAAAACCTGTAAGCAGGCTGGACAGAAACGATGCCAGCCATCCAAGATGTCTTAGAAAACCAACCCAACACACAATCCCGTTCCATCTTACCTTTGATATGGTGTTCAGCAAAGAAATCCTCCACAGACAAGGCAGTTTAGAAAGAAAAACAAATTATACTATTTTCTAGAATGTTATTCTTTTTCTAAGGCATTTCCATCCGCTGTGCTGTGAAAACAACTGAGCACTGTAAGGAGCCAAGGAGGGCAGAGACAGTTTAGGCACTCCTGCCAGTGGACTTTACTTCCTGAGGGGGAGGAGCAGAGACTGATTTGATGTCATCTCAGGCCCTTCCTCCACCCAACTTCAGAAGGTAAAATTTTTCACCAGAAGCTCAAAAGCAAGTGTCGGAGTAAACCAAGAGGCACGTGCTTTTGGTGACCATGCTCCAGGCAGGAGCCCCAGAACTCTACTATTGGTGTCTCTGAAGTTTCTCAGGGAGGTTTTTCAGACATGCTTATTTTGTAGCAGAAATATACAGCTCTCCCAAAGGTGGGAGGAACATTTCCTGAGCTGCAAATGGCAACCTTGAGTAAGTTCAGCTTACTTATGTGGCCTTTTGTGTATTGACTAAAGATTCTGTTTACTAATTTGGAGTTCTAGACTCTGTTTTTGACCGAATTTTTGGTATTCGATTACCTTTAGACATCTTGCCTGAAAGATGTATGGTTGTAACTTTAATGAAACTTTTCTTTTTCTTATTGCATTGGGAAATAGCTAAGGTTGAGTCTCCTAGAAAATTACTGGGATAATTCAACTTTCTTTTCTCATTTCCTTCCTCTGCTCCACCCTCCGCATTAAAAGAAAACAAAAATATGTCAGCAGGAAATTGTCTTTCATCTCCCCACACCAATATTCCAGATTTTAAACCAAAGTGTATTTTAAGCTACAGTGTGTGGTTTTTGTTTTATCTGGAAAAAGTACATGTATTTATGCATGTTCCCTTTTAAGCAAAGGATTTCTCGGGTTCTTAAAAGCAAACTTTATAATACTTTTTATAAAAGTGCTTGCAGAAGGACAACTTAGTGGTTTGGGAGAATACCCTGTCAGTGTAACCATGGAAAGATTATGCAACTATATGGTGCTGGTGGAAGGGATCAAATAAACATCCAGCAAAAGGCCAAGACCTAAAGAGAAGGTGAATTTTTTCAGAGCTGTTTGTAATTATGAACACATTCCAGAAAACATTTCTTAGTAAACATCTATAGGACTGATTTTTAATTTTTTTTGGTGGCATACTTGTTGTTCTTTTAAAGCAGGGTTATCTAGGATTCTTATCACAGGATGACATGAGGCTAGACTTTATCTGTTTTTCTTTATATAGACTTTATATTGCTGGCTCTGATGCTAGGGCCTGATGAAGGGTGATGGATGTATCTGTTAGAGGGGTCCACTAACCAACCCCTTCAGATGTATCTGTTATAGAGATCCAAGAACAGGAAGCTTTTAGGTGTAGTGGGAAATGAGACTTGGTTAGAATCTCAGTTTTGCCATTTCTTAAAGCCTGGAGACTATGGACAAGTTACCCTCTCTAAGTCTGTTTCTAAAACTGTAAAATATTTTTTTGTAAGGTTGTTGTGAAGGATTCACAATATATATGGAAGGTGACTGTACATTAGACTCACTATTGATACCTGGTTCGTTGAACATAGTTCTTGTTAATCAGATGGTACCTAATAGCAAGAACAAAGAATTCTTAAGCCACCTTTGGGATTATTAGTTGACATTTTGGCATCTGTACCCAATTGACTTAAAGCTTCTGGGGCCTTTAACTAAACATAAATAATTTCTTCAACCTCTCACCTTCCAACTCTTGGTCCTAAAGCTTTTCAATAAGAATGCAGCATTATTTACTCAGTCACAGCTGTTACACTCATTTCACTGTTAAATAATAGCCCATGAATAGTTTTTAACACTTATTTAATACGGCACTACCATGTAGAATTAAAATATTTTTAGTTGAATCTTTCCCTGTCCTCATTCAGTCCTTGTGCAGAAAAGTTAACATAGCTGCTCTGAGGCTTCCATTCTTTGAAAGGCTTGGCTCATGCCTGTAATCCTAGCACTTTGGGAGGCAAAGATGAGAGGGTTGCCTGAGCACAGGGTTTCAAGACCAGCCTGGGCAACTTGGCGAGACCTTGTCTCTATACAATAAGTCAAAAAATTAGCCAGACGTGGTGTGCGCCTATAGTTCCAACTACTTGGACCTACTTGGAAGGCTGAGGCAGAGGGATCGCCTGAGCCCAGCAGGTTGAGGCTGCGGTGGCCATGTGTGTGTCACTGCACTCTAGCCTGGCGGCTTGCTTACGTGATTGATCTCTGACTGACAACTGGTAATTTAGATTTCAAGAGAGTTCTTACCATTCCATAAATGATGACAGTGAATCTCTGTGCCTAAACTGTGGGAACAATGCAGTTGACGCCAAACACCAGCTTTCCTTTTGGGAACCTGGAATGTTGCTGTGTGCTAGGCAGAGGGTGCTTATGTGGCCAGCCCCCTCAGGTACTGCGTCTCTGATGAGCTCCCCTGGTTGGCAACATTTCACATATGATGTCATAACTCATTGCTGGAGACATTTATTGCATCCTGTGTGACACCTGAGAGTGAATTCTTGCAAGCTTGAGCCTGGTTTCTTCTGGACTTTGCCCCACCCTCCTGTTGCCTTTGCTGATGCAACTTTGAGTCCTTTCACTGTAATAATCTCTATGTGGGTACAACTAAATGCTCAGTCCTGTGAGGTCTCCTAGTGAATCATTAATCCTGAGGGGTTGTGTTCGCCCGTGTTCTCCAGAGGAAGAACCAGTGAGGCGGAGGGGGATATTGAGATTGATTTACCATGAGGAACTGGGTCACACGGTCATGGAAACTGAAAAGCCCAAGCTCTGCAGTCAGCAAGCTGAAGACCCAGAAGAGTCGATGGTGTAGTTCCAGTCTGAGTCCAAAGGCTCGAAAACCAGAAGAGCTGATGGTGTAAGGTTTAATTCAAGTCAGAGGGCCTGAGAAGCAGGAAAACCACTGATGTAAGTTCCATCCTGAATCTAAGGTGCAAAGGCAGAAGACTCGTGTTCCAGCTTGAAGATGGGCAGAAATAATTCATTGTTAGCCGTTCTCCTATTCAGGCCTTTAATGGGTTGCAGGAGGTCTGCCCACATGAAGGAGGGCAATATGCTCTACTCAGTCTACTGATTCAAGTGTTAATCTCATCCAGAAACAGCCTCACAGACACACCAGAAATAATGTTTGGCTAAGTATCTGAGCATTCGCTCAAGCGTACTTTAGCTTTGGCTCTACACAGGCTAGAACATCAGCCATCTCAGCTGGGCTCGGTGGCTCGGCCTATAACCCCGGCACTTGGGAGGCCGAGACGAGTGGATTGCCTGATCCTACAGGTTCGAGACCAGCCCGGGCAACTTGGAGAGCCCTCATCTCTACAATAAAACAAAAAATTAGCTAGGCATGGTAGTGCACACCTGTATTTCGGCTACTTGGAAGGCTGAGGCTGAAGGATCGCCTGAGTCCAGTGAATTGATGCTGGGGTAGCCATGAGCGTGCCACTGCACTCCATGGCGATGGAGTGAAACTCTGACTCAAAAAAGAAAATCAGCCATCTCTCTTCTCAAGTTCTTTCCAGCACAAGTCTTATGTTTCATCAATAAATTGGGTACACTATATCCTACCCTAAATGGTGCTGTGAAGAATGAATGAGAAAAGTATGTTAATTTATTCATTTCATCCAACAAACAGTTGCCTTCTATTTGCCAGACACTGGGCTGGACAGAGTGGATATTTGGTAGGCCGAGGATGGTGTGAGATGTGACCTAAGGAGTGCACAGGGGATAAATCATGCAGGACTTTTATTCTAAAGGCAATGGGAGGCTCCCAAAGGGAGGCTTAGCACTGTGCCTGGAACAGTGTGCACTCAATACTTGTCTGTTATTGAGGATTACCACCAGCGTGCTCTGTCAAATAATTCAGTTTGAACATACTAAAATCAAGCTAAGATGAAAAGTCATCTTTTCTCTGAAATCCTTCCCTCGAGTTGACTGCTTTTTTCTAAGGCACCCAGTTACTCCTATCACCTAGACAATTCAATAATCTTTCATTCTCTTTTTAAAAATCTTTAATTTTAAAGACATGGGGTACAATTCAGGGTTAGATATACAAATGTCATTATGCATTTAACCTTGTTGATGTGGTGTGCCCCTCCCTCCCCTGGCAGTTTCCCTCAACTGCCAATTCCACCTCCCCTCCCCTGGAGGGGAGGCAGTAGGTTAATTTCCCACTACTGCTAATCTCTTTCTTATATTATTATGATAATTGTTCAAGGTCCACTTGTGAGTGAGAATATATGGTACTCAGTTCTTTGTTTCTGTGATAGATCACTGAGTATAATAGACTAAATCCATCCAAGTAGTTGTGCATGTTTGTCCTTATTTATGGCTGCATAATATTCTATTGTGTATATATACCACATTTTAAAAATCCAGTCCAGCATCAATGGGCAGCATGGTTGGTTCTATGTTTTGGGTATTATGAATAGTGCCGCAACAGTCATGCATATGCAGGTATCTTTTTGGTAGAATGACTTGAGTTACTCCGTGTATATTCCCAGTAGGGGGATTGCTGGGTCATATGGAGGGTCAATTTCTAGTTCTTTCAGAAATCACTACACTGTCGTCCAAAGAGGTTACACTAGTTTGCATTCCCACTAGCAGTGTAGAAACATTCCTTTTTCTCTGCATCCTTGCCAGCATCTGTTGTTGTTTATTAATGATGGCCATCTTACTGGGGTCAGGTGGTATCTCAGTGTGGTTTTGATTTGAATTTCTCTGATGATTAGTGAGGCTGAGCACTTTTTCATGTATCTGTTGGATGCCCTTATATCTTCTTTTGAGAAGTGTCTATTCATGTCTTTTGCCTACTTTTTTTTTTTTGAGTTGGAGTCTCATTCTGTCGCCCAGACTGGAGTGCAGTGGCACACCCTGGCCACAGCAGCCTCAACCTGCTGGACTCCGGCGATCCTTCTGCCTCAGCTTCCAAGTAGCTGGAACTACAGGCGTGTGCTACCACACCCGGCTAATTTTTTAATTTATTGTAGAGATGAGGTCTCATCAAGTTGCCCAGGCGGGTCTTGAACCCGTGGGGCTCAGGCAATCCACTCACCTCGGCCTCCCAAAGCGCTAGGATTACAGGCTGAGCCACCGACCCCGGCCTTGCCCCCTTTCTAATGGGGCTGTTTATTTCCTTTTGGCGCATTTGAGTTCCTTGTAGATCCTAGATGTTCATCTTTCATTCTTCATTCTCCTTTCTTTCAGCCAATTAACTTTTTTGTCTCTTATATTTGATACTAAATTAATCATCTTGCTGAAACTATTCCGTCTTCTCTAAAATGGGGATAATACCCAAGAATGAGGATTACATGAGCTAAATACATGTGAATTGCTTAGTGTGTGCTTAGGCTATAGCAAGAACTCACTAAAGATTGGCTGTTATTACTTTGGGCTAGCAGTTGGAGATACATAGATGAGCAAAAGGACGTTTTTCTCCAGCTCTCTCTACAAATTAATTTTTTATTATTTTTGAATTGGAGTGTTACTCTGTTTCCCAGGCTGGAGTGCAGTGGAATGCTCACAGCTACCGCAACCATGACCTTCTGGGCCCAGGCAGTCCTTCTGCTTCAGCCTTCCAAGCAGCTGGAACCACAGGCACACACTACCACACTTGGCTAATATTTTGATTTATTGTAGAGATGAAGTCTCACCAAGTTGTTCAGTCTAGTCCAGAACCCTGGGCTCAGGCAATCCTCTCACCTCAACATCCCCAAGTACTGGAGTTGCAGGTATGAGCCATTGTGCCCAGCTCTACAGATTTTTTTTTTTTTTTTTT